AGTTCATGGATCACCCCTACTGCGATTCAAACCTGCTGTGGAACATTGGATTGTTTCTATCACAGAGGTCTAAAATAGCTATCCCTTAGCATTCCCATTCATCTCAATTGCAGTTGTTTGACTGGCGCAGAACCCTGGAGATGATGTAATTACAGTATCTACCAGGGGCCAACGGGGTCGTACTAACCCGCCAAATTCATTGGCTTCTGTTGCTAGACATCAGGCATGTTTGGGTGTGATGTTGTCATGTTGGCTGGAAAGAAGAACCCAACCCTTGTCTCAGCGATGGCCTCTTATTGGTCCCAGACAGTCTTTTTACGGCCCAATGAGATCACAGTGTTTATTTTGGCTTTCATCTGTTATGAAATGCCCTCTTCTCATTCCAGCTCTGTTAAAGGAGGAGGGCATTGGCCTTGTTTTCTGTGAACTCAGTGAGGACACTCATCTGCGGCTTCTTTTTCTCGCCCTCGCTTTCTGTTTGTATGATCTTATAATGCTCTATAAATTCAGCCGCAGAGGCCGTATTGAAAGACAAGGTCGACAATAAACCAGCTGGGGGTGTGTGTAAATTGGAGCCTGTAGAGCCAATACTGCACAAATACGAGAGATATACTTTCAAAGCTACTCACCTTTTCGCTTCATCTCTGAGGGCCTGTTTTGAAAAAATATAATGGAAGTCCAAGATAATATTAATATACACATATTAATTTTAAAACATTCTGATTTTAGAGATACTGTAGACTTGAATCGACCACTTCAGAGACAATGCTCCCTGAAAAACTAAGGGATCCATAACATGAACTAGTGTTTCAGTTCTTTGGTGAGTGAAGCTGAATTAAATACTAATGGAAATTACTCTAAAAAGATTATTATTTGTACTAGAAAATGGGGAAGTGAAGTGATGATGATGATGTAAGCATGGGTTTTGAAGTACAATCTAATCAGCGGCCATAGTGCTTTAGACTTGAGAAAGCCTTTTGAATTTCAGTTCAATTCTTGTGTTTAAACTGAGGTAAACTGAAGTAATGTAAGGACGTTTAAAGAAAGTCATATTCAGACAGACAAACAAACAGACAGACAGAAAGACAGTAGATAGAAAGACGAATGGACTGACGGATAGATAGATAGATAAATAGAGAAACAGAAACATAGACAGTCAGACAGAGACAGACAGTCAGACAGACAGACAGACAGACAGATAGATAGATAGATAGATAGAAAAACGAATAGACAGACAGACAGACAGATAGATAGAAAAACGAATAGACAGACAGACAGACAGATAGATAGATAGATAGATAAAACGAATGGACAGATAGACAGACAGACAGAGATAGATAGATGACAGTGACAGAGACACTGACAGTGTCAATAGGTGTCATCATCGTACAGTCTACAGGTATGTTGTACCCTAGTTTATTAGATCCATCTCGCACAGTGTGTGATATGCAATGATCTTGTATTGCTAAATTGGATTGCTAAAATTGTGCAGTGTGTCTCAGGCTTCAGTCAGAGATTTCAAATAAGAATATCACACATCCTACATTTATCCTACATTTAAATAGTTTGACACAATGAGATCTACCATCTAGACACAACAGTGAGTCTCAGAGGTGTTTTTGCTTACCTTACTACTTTGTTGATAGGTAATGAGGTCCAGGTGTTTCCGATTACCCCACCCCACCATGTTTGTTCAGTTGCGGTTGCCCAGGGGGATGCCGTCACGTGCACAGAGGACTCATGAACCTCACATCTAATAAAGAGGTGCGATTCATGCGACAGCTGAAGTAAACTCAGCCATTCATCCCAATGAACGTGATTCTGCTTTACTTGCTTTATTAATAGAACTCAAAGGTTTCTCGTTCAATAAAGGGCAGCGGTTTAATGAATTAGTACAGGCGTCTGTAAATGTCACTGATTTGAGCTTTTTTACATTTTCAGATTCTTTTAAAGTTCCTCTGGTGCCTGTCAAAGCCCAAATTGGTATTGTCCCCGTTGATTGATGGTAGGTTTTTTTTTGTTGAGAAAAGCCTCAAGGGTTTCTACTTTGATCCACCAAGCCGAGGTTCTCATGCCTCCCTCATGAACTGAATCTTTCTGGTCAATAAAGTGGATAGAGAGGGAGGAACCGAGAAGAAATTATTTTTCACAGTCTATTTTTAGACATTTTGGTTTCTTATTATATAGAACCGGTCAGAGATGTACGTCTTCGTGGCCTTTCAGGAAAGAGCACATGATGGTAGACTGTCACCTGTGTGAAACGAAACCCAAGGCTGGTGTCATATAAAATGTGTGAATTTGAATGTAATGATTATAGGGAACGAATAAATGGGGAGTGGCAGAGCAATTGCCATTTGAGGTGCCTGATCCAGACTGCTCCCCCAACTTGTTCTGACCTTCAAAACAGCCAGTCTTATAGGATTTTGGAGAAGCATCTATTCTAGTTTTTTTTTCTCAGCCCATAACCCCTCAAACCCCTTAGTGTATGGATATATTGAGCTATATATGTGTGTGTGTGTGTGTGTGTGTGTCTATGTTATTCCCAAACTTAGCTTCTCGCTGCTTCTCATTTAAAGTTGGTAAAGACAAACAGGAAAAAGCAGTGGTCCATAGACTGCACAAATAGACCCCTGGAAAACAGAAGCAACGAGAAAAGTTGGAGGTGTGAGGATGGTAAACATTGGTTTGTTTTTCTGCTCTAATGCTCTACCCCGCTGAGGTGCCTCAGTTATTTTGAACCTCTGGGACATAAACACCCCGTCTCATAAATACCATGTGCCTCTCGCTCACCTTCAGGACTGCGGTCCTGGTAGTGATGTGGAAGCTACTTTGAAACTCGAGCTTATCAAGTTACAAGCTATTCATATTTTAAATTTGTGAGACTAAAGCTGCTCTTTTGTAAGGTTGTTAGCTACACTACAAGCTATTAGCATACGATGCTAACTACACTAAATCTATTTTTACCTCATTTATTTTTAGCCGTTTTTACAATCTGGTCAATATTTATCAGAAATCTAGAAAGGATCTAGATCTCTGCATTTTACCAGTCAAAAGTTTGGGATAATTAAAGGGATAGTTCACCCAAAAATGAAAATTCTGTCATTAATTACTCACCCTCATGTCGTTCCAAACCCATAAGACCTTCATTTTCAGAACTCAAATTAAGATATTTTTGATGAAATCTGAGAGCTTTCCGACCCTCCATAGACAGCAAGGGTACTACCACATTCAAGGCCCAGAAACATAGTAAGGACATCATTTAAATAGTCCATGTGACATCAGTGGTTCAACCTTAATTTTATGAAGCTACGAGAATATTTTTTGTGCGTAAAGAAAACAAAAATAACTTTATTCAACGATGTGTTCTCTCCTTCGACAGTCCTCAGCCATTACAGAGAGTAGGGATGGGCATTTTTAAAAAAATATTGTATTCGATTATTTGGGCTCATAAAAAAACAAATATTTGAACATTTGTTTATTTAAATGAAGTTTAACGAGAAAGACGTTAGTTTTTAATAATCAAGTTTTTGTCACCATTTCTGAACAAGCTTTATGATTAGGCATTTTACAGAACAATGTTCTACAGCAATGTTACGTTATAGCTCAAGGTTTTCTTTTAGTTGAAAATGTGTGTAAACAAAAATATGTATGTATATATAAAGAACAAAAGCATTCAAGCTCAAGCAGAGCAAACTGAAAAAATAAAGACTGCCAATTACAGTACAGAAGATACATACACCTATGTCAGCCTATGTTTATCATGTTTATATTGTTTCACATGTTAATGTGGAGAAAAACAATAATATCCACATGATCGGGTGAAAGCTGGCTCCTCAGTCTGATAACAATAAGAACGTGTGGTGACACAGATGTTCCAGAGACACAAAGATAACGAGTGCTAAGCAAAGTTTCTTACAGCGCTTTGCGTTTCCTGTTCTTAAACCACTCTCCCTCGAGGAAACTTAAAGGAAGCATATATCTCGATATCATTTCGCTATTATATGCGCTCGCTTCTCAGCTCACTCGGGGTACAGCTGCGCTTACCTGCAGTTGTGAATGCAGTGATGGACAGCTGTCTTTCCTCAGTCAACTGGGTGTTTGGATTTCATGTGGTTTCTCATTGTGGTGCTCATTGTTTCACTGATTCATTTGATCAAAGTAATTCCATTTTGTAACATCATTTAGTAAGATCATTTTGATCAAAGTAATTCCAAACTTCACGAGGCAGACAACGACATTCTGTGATCAAATACAATCAACTTGTTAACATGTTCCACAGCGCCACCCAAAGTCATTATTTTAGTTTTCTTTGCGACAAAAAGTATTCACATATAGTTTCATAAAATTATGGTTGAACCACTGATGTCACATGGATTATTTTAATGATGTCCTTGCTACCTTTCTGCACCTTGACTGTGGTAGTACCCTTGCTGTCTATGGAGGGTCAGAAAGCTCTCAGATTTTATTAAAAATATCTTAATTTGTGTTCCGAAGATGAAGGTCTTACAGGTTTGGAACGAGTAATTAATGACAGAATTTACATTTTTGGGTGAACTAACCCTTTAAAATTTTTAAATGTTTTTGAAAGAAGTCTTTTCTGCTCACCAAGACACAGCAAAATACAACAAAAATGGTAATAATATGAAATAATATTAGTTTTTTTTGTATTATGTCAAAATACAAAAGACATATACCTATGTTGACATATACCTCAACTCAACTCAACTCAAACTTTATTTATAAAGCACTTTCAACACCACAACTGGAACCAAAGTGCTGTAGAGAAAAAGATAAGGGGGAAAAAAATAAGAATAATAAGAATAATATAAAAACAAATTAAAAATAATAATAGTATAAAAAAATAAAAATACATACTCCTTCAAAAACAGCTAGAAACCTTGGAGTTATGATTGATGATCAGCTTACTGTCTCAGACCACATTGCTAAAACTCAACTCTCAACTCAACTCAACTCAACTCAAACTTTATTTATAATCGTGATCAACTGTATCGAATGCTGCAGTAAGATCTAACAAAATTAGAACAACACAACTCCCAGAGTCAACACCTCTTAAGATATCATTGGAGACCCTCAAAAGAGCAGACTCTGTACTGTGGCCGGCTCTAAAACCAGACTGGAATCTATCTCAGATATTATTCCTCTTTAAAAAAACTGCTCCAACACAATTTTTTTTTTTTTTTTACAAACTTTTTTTAAAACTGTCCGTTTTTTAAAACTGACAGTTTTTTAAGCAAAAAAGACCTCTAACACTAGCTTGCTCTATTCTTTTTCTATACTATCTGTTTTCTTTTTATTTATTATATTAATTAAAAAACCCTTGCTACGTGTACTGTGTTAAGCTAACTGAGACTTGTTATAGCACTTGCATATCATTGCTCTTTTGTTTGATTGATTCCATTGTTCTCATTTGTAAGTCGCTTTGGATAAAAGGGTCTGCTAAATGACTAAATGTAAATGTAAATATTATAAAATGTAATTTATTAAAATAATATGCTATCTAATATGCTAATTTGGTGTGCAGTAAACATTTCATACTATTATCAATACTGAAAACAGATTTTGCTTCTTAATACCGTAATACACTACCATTCAAAAGTACAAGAAATTTATACTTTTATTTAGCAAGGACGCATTAAATGGATCAAAACTGACAGTAAGTGCATTTATAATGTTACAAAAGATTTTGATTTAAAATAAATGCTGTTCATTTTAGCTTTATTTTAATTGTAAAAAATCTGCCAAAATATTAAGCATCAAATCTTCACCACTGATATTTATAAGAATCGTTATTTTTATTTGAGCACCAATAATTGATCATTACTGAGCAACAATTTGAATGATTTTTTTAATATGATTACTGTTTTACAGTATTTTTGATCAAATAAATGTAGCCTTTGTGAGCATACGAGACATCTCAAATTAACTAATTTAATTTAAGATATTTAAAAATTAAGCAGATTATTGATTATTTGATTATTATCAGTTCACTTGGTTGTTAATGAGGCTAAAAGTAGCGATACACTTTTTACTTTTTTTAAGGTTACTTTCTACTTCGAAACTCTGTTTTGGAAAAAGCTGAGCTGCTGTTTTGCTGCTAAAAAATTTAGTTAGCAGTGTTGCTTCAGTACTTTTAGTTAGATGCTCCCGAACACTCAGTCCTTGAGGTAAAGTGGGGTTACAGGATATTCTGTTTCATTTACACCCAAAGAAAAATTTCCAAACCAAAAGTGAAAGTACGCAGTGTATTTAAAATGTGATTCTGCTTTATATTCCCAGCTCTCAGCGAGACACTTGTAGCCTTTGAGGCCTCGCCGAGGTAACTCACCATCTTTGTGAGCTCAAGGGAGGCTTCCATTGATGTTTCTAAATGTCTGCCTCCAGCTGTCTTTATCACACAAGTACACACAAACACACACAAGACACACACACACCGATAGGCTGGGCTTGATTAAACATTCTTGAAGTGTTAGCTGGTAATCTGTCACTGAACTTCTAAGGAGCAGTTTAAGTTTGGTCTCCATGTGTCACGTGGCACAGCAGTGATAGGCCGTTCCTCACAAACACAATTTGTTCCTTTACAGATCTTCTTCATGCACCAAGAGCTTGTAACACTCCAAAGAGAAAGGAAAAATTGAAATCGCATCATATGACCCCTTTAATGTGGCCGCAGAATCTACAGCACCGTGAAGACCTTTTAGACAGATTTACTGCCGCACTCATTAAATCTGAGTGAAAGCGCTGCTTTCTGCACACAAAATGCACAAGATTTAATATATGATACAATGACGCTTAAATATGGCTGTGTATGCTCCATATGTAGTTGTACATTTAGGGCCCTATTTTAACAATCGAAGCGCATGGTCTAAAGTGCACGGCGCAGGTGCACTCAGGACATGTCCGAATCCACAATGCGCCTGAACACCTCTTTTTTAGACCAGCACGCCCATGGGCCCACAAATGGGCGCAAATGCATTTGCTATTTAAACAACGCGGCGCAGGACGGGAAAATGAGAACTGCATCGGGCTAAAACTAGCAAAAACACTTGCCTTGCGCTGCATTGCGCCGGGTGTATGATAGGGCCCTACATGTCTGTACTTGTGTGTACCCAAAGGAATGCTCAGAGATAGCCTTTCATAGATCAGGGGACATAATGGAGATCTCAGATATCTCAAATATAAAGATATCACAGATATTTCAAATCTTTGGATAAAAAGTTTCCAAAGATTTGACAACAGTTTTTGACAAGATACTCTACAGCAGGTTTTTTTTCCCCACAAGGGGATTTTTGAGGAATTTTTATTTTCATACTGCTTGTCAATCTCAGATGCACTGTAAACGTAATACAAAGTAAGCACATTTTAACTTTTCATTTAGTACACTGACAATATAAATTTATAAAACTATATTTTTAGATTGGTATATTTGTGAAAATATTGTTCGAAATTTACGGCCCTTGTCATTAAACAAAAAAAGCTATTTAGTTTTTTCTACAAAAATCCTAGTATGCTCTCATTTAAATGTATTGAGAAACAACAGATAATAAAACAAAAACAGGTTTTTGTATTAATAAGGGTTATATAATAAAAGTTGTTGGTCCCCATTAATTTCTATAGTATTTTATTCCATACTATGGAAGTGAATAGAGACCGTTAACTGTTTGGTTACCAACATTCTTCAAAATATCTTCTTTTGTGCTCAACAGAACAAACAAATTCATACAAAATGAATAAATGATGACAGAATTTTCTTTTATTAGATTTTTTTTTTCAGCTAGTTTCCAAGGCAACACATCTCATTTTCACATCAAAATATTAATCAAAACTGTAAGAGTATGTCAAATAATCAAATAATATATCAAATAATATTGCTATTAAATCATATTTGAGGGTCCTTGGCATTAAAAATAAATAAATACCACAAAACAAAAAAAAACTCTTGCTCTAGAGGAGACACTCGTGAGATTTATAGTTGTTGTTTTTTTTCCAGCAAATATCTCAATATGCTGTGTATTTTAATGAATTGTGTATGAAAAACAACTGATCTCACTGGGTATTTTTCTGTCCTGTGGGCTCACATCTGGACGTTTCTGAGCTGTGTCACATCCCTTCACACTGTATCATATCATGCATCTCGTGTTAGGTAAAAGTGGCACTACTGGTTGAACACCATCTCAGGGGGCCACTCTGAATTCAATTAGCATCTGAAAGGCTGGAGACCTCATGATGTGTGTCAAATGAATTTGAGGCTACTGGTGCGTCAGCCTCTGTACGCTGCTGTCAGGGCTCAGTTGCCATGACAGCCAATCGCAAGCCTGCCGCTCCGCAGCGACAGGTTAGTGAAACCATGCCTGACTCAGAGATCAGCGAGACCTTTGTTTCCGCACTCAGCCACACTGTTTGCGATCATGTTAAAAAGCCACAATTATTGCCTTTGTAATAAGGAGGTTTTGTGTGGGCAAAAAGAAGAATGATCACCTGCTTTTCACACCTCTGCAAAAATGCGGCAAATGATGTCGATACAAAAGTATAATGAAGAGATTTCAGTGTTTATTGTGACCCTGGCACCTTAACTAGCTACACCGGAATAGTTTTTTTTTTCTTTCTCATGAGAGGTATAAATGGTCTTTGTGTCTAAATGGATTTTGATGAGCCTCGTGGGTGATCACTGTCTCACTTCCCTTCAGTGCAGGACCTATAAAAGGCCACTGCCTGTGGTCATTAGACCAGTGATTCCCAACCTAGGGGTTCTTAAACCGTTTTAATACTCCTTGTATTTGCATATAGATTTCAGTTTTATTTCTAAATAAAAACCTATAAAACTGAGAAATTAATCTCATTGTTTTTTTCTGATTCTTAGGGATATAAAAAATGTCTTTTACACATGTTATAAAAGTTTTATGAATTTGAATTGTGTATACAACCCATTAAAACAAAACAAAAAAAGTCAGTAAAAAAATACAATAAAATAAAATAATTAATACTTTTATTCAGCAAGGCTGAATTTAATTCGATCAAAGGTGATATTTATAATGTTACAAAATATTTCTATTTCAAATAAATGCTGTTCTCAATAACTTTATATTCCTCAAAAAATCCTGAATGTTTGTTTCCACAAAAATACTAAACAGCACAACTGTTTTCAACATTGATAATAATAAGAAATGTATTTTGAGCATCAAATCAGAATATTAGAATGATTTCTGAAGGATCATGTGACACTGAAGGCTGGAGTAATGCTGAACATTCAGCTTTGCCATCACAGGAATACATGATAATGTATTACATATTCAAAAAGAAAACAGTTATTATAAATTGTTGTAATGTTTTACATTATTACAGTCTTTACTGTATCTTTGACCCAGTAAGTACTGCCTTCCTTCCTTCTTTAAAAAACATAAAAATCTTACCAACCCCAAACTTTTAATTGTAGTGTATTATGTAAACATATTTATGTTTATTTTTATATTTACACTGTGGATGAAAAACACTGAGATGGAAAACACTGATTTAGACCACATACTTTAGGTAGGAAAAGTTTGGATGACAGAATTAAATGCATAAAACAGACTCAAGACTCACCAAACTGGGAAACACTGAACATTTGCTGGGAAACTAAAATTTGCTGTCCTCAGAAAACTTTTATTAAAGTTGCCTATAGCTGGTCCTCACATAAACCCAAATTACTGTGTGAGACTTGCATAACTTGTGCATTGGTTGTTTGTGACTGATTTCCTATGCCACTTGTGTAATCAATACCGTTGTTTACATGGATGAAGAAATAAAGACCATATTATGTGTGCTGTGCTCTTTCTAAACTGTCCCCAGCTTTCCAGGGTATCCAGTGTGTTCGCTAATATTTTAGTGGATTCGAAGTGGTCCAGACTCCAGACCCTCTGCTGAGCTCCGTCGGTGAAGACAGCACTTGGACAACAGTCATGGCCAATGGAGGCAATGAAGCCAGAATCACAACTTTTTCTATTAAATGGTAATCGAAACAACAGGGAGGCATCACTCTTTAACATGGTCCAGATGATAGCAGCATCTCCCCTGCTGGGCTGTTCTGTCCTTCTGCTGGATATAATTCAATGATCTGATCAGTACAATGATGTGCTCTATTATTGCTGCTGCCTTTGCCAGTCTGCGGGGGCCAGTTTGTGAGACCCCCTCTACTCTCACTTTCATTCACACTCACTCTTTTTGTCTTTCCTCCATAACAAAAGCATTAACATCTGTTAAACAGGTTGTGCGGGTGAGGATGGAGAGATGGGATGTGAGAGCTATGCATGATGCCTGTATATTTTTCAACTCTTGAAATGCACCTCTTCTGCTTTTCTGTCATACAGGACCAGCAACTGAAAAGACTATAGATGTACTGTATCCTGTTATTATGGTGAGAAATAACAATACACTGTTTTTAGGGTAGTTAGCACCTTGAAATTTACAGTAAAAAAGTAATGCAAAGCTATGTTGCCAAAACTTTACTGTACACTTTACAGTAAAAACTGTATTTTATATATAATATAATGTTATATAGCAACCTATTGAAGTGCTAATATATGTATTGTACCTTTGTAATACACTGACAACCAACAAAAACAGGTGGTGATGAGAAAGACATGTAATGAATCAAAGCTCATCAGCTCTTCCACAAGCTGAGGACATAAATACTAATATATAAAAGGTGCAGTTTCATTCACACAAACACTAAACAGCATCATGGTAACACACAACACTAAAGTAATGCAATAAACATTTAACAACATTAGATGTATCATAAAACCCTAATGTAAGTAACCGATAAGAAATAACTAAGAAGAAACAGTTATTTCAACAAAATATCAAATGTGAAGTGTCACTCTAAATCAGGGTTCCTCAATTAGTTTTCACCGAGGGCCAAATTTAGCCAACAATACCAAGCCAAGGGCCACCGACCACAATGTTACGTCCAAAATGTTATGACCAAAATGTTTGCTCCTATTATTAGGGGTTCAAGCACATAGTGCTGAAATCCTATTGTAATTGTTAGGATTTTTATTATTATTACCGTATTGGCCCGAATATCGCGGTTTTTCAGATGTATTTCCAAAAAAAAACATCGTCTTATATTAGTGTCAATACGGTATTATTCTTCCCTAAAACTGATCGTGCAGCCCAAACCGTAAGGCCTAGAGAGCTGAAACTTGGTCAGATTGTAGTAGTCCAGCCTTCTTGTCAGATCCAAAGACTCACCGCAATCAGCCAATAGGGGGCGCTACAGCGATCAAAAACGCAAAAGCCATCATAACTCCTACACAGTTTGTCATAGAAAAAAAGTTGAAATTTCAACTCACCGTCGCTTAGGGACGCAAAAACGTCTGTTAGGGACGGGGCCATTTTTACTAAAATGGCTATAACTCCTGAACGGAACGAGATATCTTCACCAAACTCGGTACACATGTGTGCAAGCTCAATCTTTGGTCAAAAAAAATAATAATTCGCAGTTCTGCCACTTGTTGGCGCTATAAGACGAAAAAAAACTACCTACTTTTGCGAACTAGTCCTAGGTTTTTATCTCGATCAAACCACTGCAGCGATATTCTCTGGCCTCTTTAGATTAATAGTTATCAAAAAAATGTTGAATTTTGTCCTTTAGTTATCTTTAACGGGGTAATTTAGAAAAGGGGTGTGGTGAAATATACCCATAAGCCTATAAATCCTAAACGAAAACTCAAAACGTTACGAAACTTGGTGAAACCATGTGTCAACAGTACTGTTCATCGGTTTGCCTATGGATTCATGCTAAGACATTATAAAATCACTGTTATAACATTTAAAATCACATTGAGTCAAAGTTTACCATTTTGTTTATACAGACATATCAGTTTTTACAATTATGCCAGATTATGATTACAGTGAAACCTGAAAATGACATATTAACTCTTAAAAATAGAAGACTTGCAATAAGTTTTGTGTCACCTATAATTTATCTCAAATATCTATATCTGCAACAAAATGTGTGTGCATGTATGAGTGTGAATGTGTGTTTAAGCATGCTGATTGAGTATTAATATACTAGTTTAATAATTTCATTTCAGTGTGTGTGTGTGTGTGTGAGCCTATTCTCCATATTGGATGTGTTTTACTGTCAGTCATACATCCAGGTTGGCCAAGACCACATTAAACGCCTTAAAGTGCTTGAACCCCGGTAATTGCTGCTTGCAGCTATATTTATTATTGTTGTTGTTGCTGTTTTTGTTTTTATTGTTGTTTTTTGGTAAAAGTGTCACAAGATAAAAATTTTAACTTTTTTCCCAGTAATCTGTTTCTATCAATTATGAAAATTTTTTGATACAGAAAACTAACTCTGCCTGTCACGATAAAAGTAATCTTTTCCATGTAGTTTTTGTCCTAACCACCCATGACAGCGACACGCAACAAGCATCAGGGAATTCTGCTTTCGAAACTGTTTTTATTTTCTTCGATGTCTCGGCTGGAACAACATACAAAATATGTCAGTGATAATCTCAGGTAATGATTATGTGCTTTATTCAATGTTAAAAGTGTCTAATGTGAGTTTGAATATTATTTTGCATGACCTTTATAGCCATAATGAAAGCAACAATAGATATTTTACCTCAGATCTTGAAAATAAAGCAAACTTGTGGTAAGTTAAAATTGTAAACTCAGTGTGAACCAGCACGTGCTATCCATAACAAAGATGGTATAAGTCACTCACTTACTCAAAATAGTTAAGCCTACTCATCTTTGAATGGTCTATTTTCCGTATCCACTTTTCTTTTCTTCACACTCGCCATGTTTTTGCTGTCACATCGTGTCTACACTGGATGCGACAAAGCGACCATTGCAAATCATTTGAACTTTGTGTCAGTATGTCATAAAACGAGGCATCAATGTACTGTCGGGGATTTGTCGTGTCGTGAGCAGAAGAGAATTCTTTAAAAAACATTATATATATATATATATATATATATATATATGAATGTGCAGGTGATGTTGTAAGTGTTGGGCTGTCATAGGTCAAATTCAATCCATTGAACTGCACAATTACTGGATTACCCAATTACCATTGGGCCCTTGACCTCCAGTTGCTCAAGGGAACTGATCCTGTTTGTAAATTAACTAAACATTGCTTAACAAATTGGATAAGAAATCATCTGCCAACCGACTAATAACCAAAGTAAGCATAAAGTTGGCAGGCTTGTGATGTTTGTATTGTTTATTTAGTCTATTTGTGTCTTTCCCCTTCCTCCTTTACCTTTTGTCTTCCTTTGTGTCTCTGAGGACACTTTGTTTCGCCCAGGCACTACTGTCTATAATGGAAAGCTGTTTTTGTCTTTAACTTGACGCACCTCCTAAACTGAAAATAACCAGCCGAGACACATTCTCAAACAGCATCAGGTCTTACTAGGACAATGACTTGATACCTCAGCCATGAACGGCGGCTTAGATTGTAGGAGCGTCTGTGGCAGGAGCTGCCTAGCTGCTTTGAACTCTTCTGCTGAACACGGTGTGTAGTCATGGACTAGCTGGAGGAAATCTGTACAGATAACAATATTAATCTGCTCAGACAGCTGGGCTGGGGGATATCTAGTGGCATTAGACTAAGGACACGGGGACCTTGGTAGACCTAAATATATATCAGGGCTGGAATGAATTTTATCTTAGTTGAGCTCACAGGATCTCTGCCACATAGCTTGTACTCTAATGGTTGTAGTGACAGTCAAATGAGTTCATAAGCTGTGCTGAGGGCACGAACACCTGACACACCTGTCACAAAATACGATAAGCAGAGGTGTAAATCTGTGTCATTGGATATCACATGCAAGCATTTACCTATAGTCATGGGACACTGTTCCAACAACATTCACTTCTTATAATGGCAATAATTAGGGGCTTATGGGTGATCTAAAAGGGTTGCTTAGTTGTTTTGTTTAAAAACTGAACTTTCCAGAAACATCAAGTCATGTTAGCATTTTGTAAAGTTAGGAAATGAGGCCTGAAATATTGTCGCAACAACCATCAATTTTTTAAAAAACAATTTATATTTTTGACTTTTGTTACAGACACTACACAGGCAATTGACTTTTGTCAGAGGTTTAGCACACAAACTGCTCCAGACATTTCTTAGATCATTAATATTATTTATGTTATTTGACCTTCATCCCAACTCAGGGCTTTTCAGATTGCAAGAGGGGTCGGTGGAAAATTTGAGAGAGAGAGAAAATACTTTTTATATATATAGAATATACATTACCGGTTAACAGTTTGGGGTCAGTAAGATTTTTTTTTTTAATGTTTTTTTTAAAAGTATCTTATGCTCACCAAGGCTGCATTTATTTGATCAAAAATACAGTAAAATTTTATTACAATTTAAAATGTAATTTATTCCTTTGAAGCCAAAGCTGAATTTTCAGCATAATTACTTCAGTTTTCAGTGTCACATGATCCTTCAGAAATCATTCTGATATGCTGATTTGGTGCTGAAGAAACATTTATTATTATTATCAATATTGAATCTGTGTGATCATTTTTTTCAGGAATTTTTGATGAATAGAACATTTGTGATGTAAAAGTCTTAACTGTCACATTTGATCAAACTATTGCATGCTTGCTGAATAAAAGTATTAATTTCTTTTAAAAAATTAAATTTTTATTGCAATAATGTGTTAACATTATAAAATTATAGATTTTTCTTTCTGCTTTCTAAACTCTGAAATTATTGTGATTATTTCACTCTATTCACAGACCTTGTTTTTTGTTCTTTATATATAGCTGCCCTATATTTAGACAGGGGTCATCATATATGAGGGGTTCATCATAAGCAAGGGGTCATCATATTTGAGGGGTTCATCATAAGCAAGGGGCTCGTCATATATGAGGATCCTTTGCATAAAAAAAGTTTGAAAAGCCCAGCCCTAACTGCTTTTTTTAAAGGAGGATGTCAGGTGAACGCAGGCTATTGCAAAACTTTTTAAAATATAATGATTATCTCCTAAAAGTGGGGGCTCACAGTTATAACAGTTGTTACACCCCTAGGAACAAGGCAAAAGGACTCAAATATAACACCAGCACCTCCAGGGATGTGTAGAGGAAAGGTTTTATGGAGCATGGAAATACTGTTTCATAAACAGATACCATATTTACGTTCAGCTGATTTGTGAAATAAAAGAACATTAAATAGTTCCTTTCACTAGAAATTCTTTAATCCTATAAATGACATTTAAACTTGTGACCAGAGCCTGATTTGTGCCTGTGAAACACAAAATCCAGAGAGCTTGTGGTTCGATGATGAGTTGAAAGCATTTCCACCCGATATAAAATGCTGACCGCTGATGGATGTTCTACCTACATAATCAATTAGGCCTGCATGACGGTCTCCACCACAGCACACTTATGAATCCTTTTCCTTATTTTACACCAATTTCGCTATCTGATAAGCCATAATATATGGCACAGCACACACTGACACAACTCATAAATTGTATCTATGCGATCACAAATTATAAATTGACTTTCAGCCTTTTTTGATAACGCATTTTCCGGTGGAGTAATCAAACTCGCATTGCTTGTAAACGTTCTGACAGTGTGTGCTCTCTCTCCTCTATTAGGCCGGAGGACATGCCTTGTCTTATTGTTTTCTTATGCATGCTGTTGGGCCTGTTGAAGCTGTTGGGATTCTAGGAGCAGCCTGTCGTTGAGCAGTATCTCGGTGCTGAAGTGGATTGGACAGAGCAGCTGCCCCGGGCTGAAATGAGCGTTGCCGTGAGCGACCTCTCGCTGGGCTTCCTCTGCTCTAAGATTGCTCTTTGAGGAGCTTTATTCACCTCTCTTACTGTGACATAGCTTTGGACACACTGCATAATAAGCATATTAAACAGTTCTACATGGGGCAGAAAATATGTGGCCTTTGCAAATAAGCACAAACAGTGTCAATGAAAAATGCACTGCAACAGACAAGACGGACCCACTGCACGGATCCCACAGGGCCATTCTGAATCACCCAAGCAGATGTGGAGGAGCCACTTAACCCAGCTAAGTGCTTGAATATTTCTATATCTAAAGAAAGATGCTTAATATAAGTTTACATCATTGCAGAGGCTGGTATTTCTATTGTTGTTCCAAAACGTAGTAAGCTGCCTACTGCCTGCATAGACTGCTACATTCTAAGCTAACCAGCTAACAAAAATATGTTCTAAGAACATTTTGCTAACATTCACATTAAGCTATGAAAATCAATGTTATTTCTGAATGTTCTCTGAACATTCAAAAAAAACATTCAGTTTTTAATAGATTTAAAAATGCTTTTTCTTGGAACATTTAAAAAAAAATTAGTAAAGATAAAGAAAATTTATTAAAGAGCAGGTAACTTAGAACAAACATTTTATTATGTAAAGATACTGGAATAATAGTTGTTCATAACTTTGAGAGAACCTTGCCAGAATGTTCTGAGAACATTGCCTGTTAGCTGGGATTCTAACCGTCATGACACCTCAGTGATCGATTGGGAACACTCTACATACACTAAAATATCAAATGTGAGCACCACACAAAAAAGCAATCAATATGAGATACGCAAGCGTATGGCCAACCTAATGACACAATACTCTAATAAGCATACAAACCATATAAAATAAGTGTGAAATAGCTACTTTTTAATTATTCTAAACTCCAAACTTGTACAATTCACTGCAGTTGCCAAATAAAATTAACACTATTAGTTAAACACCAACAACTTTTACTCCTTTTCACTAGAGTTGGAGTACTTGTACTCGAACTTGACTTTTTTTTTTTCCTGAATACACTTCATGTGTAACATGAAAGATATAAAACTAACAACATAAAATTAAGATGACAAGACATTAACAGATGTCTTCCACTTAAACTCAGTTGGTTAAGATCTTGTAGTGCATGATTTGTAAACCAATACATTTTAATGTTTGCATCACATAACCAACTCCATATGTATGTCTTTTCTAACATACAGTAGTAAACTTGCCCAGTTGCTCACCTGGTACAGCGTTACACTTGAAAAGCAGAGCGCTCCGTACAAGTTTAGTGAAACACAAGTATATCATATAATGCATTGTAATGCATAAAATACAAATGCCAAGTTCTGTCATGAAACTAGATGGCGCAAGCTGATGGGCCGTTAACGCAAACACAGCGTTATTCACAGCGTTAAACTAGTTGGCACAAGCTGATCCGTTAATGTTGCATACGCAGCCAATGAGCTTGCTGCTTTAAAATTTTTAATGGCTGGTTAGCGTTCACTAGAGCAGTTCGCAACGCGCTTTCAGTTACTCTGAAACCCCCCACCTTCCCCAGCTCCACCTGTATAGATCTGCTACGGGTTATTATATATGCTGTTTGTGCAGCAGCAGTATGTCTTAAATACTCTCAGCACCGTGTCTGCATATGTATTGGCAATAGCAAGTTCCTGTACTTTCTCTGCAGCAGCAGCAATAATCAGCAATAACCAACAGCAGCAGCAGCAATTCAGCAGTGTTGCAGATCTATCCTGCCAAGACCAAATAAATTAACATTGTTATATTTCTATGACTTTGCTAAAATCTTCCAAGAGTTGTCATGATAGAAATACAATTTTATCTCAAATGTGCTTTTGCTCACACTCGGTTATGTTTATTGTATGGTTTAGTGTAGGTGTTACATTGTTTTCAAACACGATTAACCTATTAGCGGCACTCACCAGATGTTTCATTTCCGAACGTAATTTTTAGAGCCACTTACTGTACCAGACATTTCACTTTGAAAGTGTCGCTTAACCTGCAAAAAAGCTACGCGATGCGCCTGGGTTGTCTAAAGAATTTGGTCAATAAAAATATTGAATGGAATCCAAGTTTGTTTATAATAAATATTTCTTTTGTTCACCTTTTTGGAATATTTTTACTGAGCTGAAAGCTCATCGCAGCGCATTGATATTTTATGCTGTCTAAGGGGCCTGAAGGTGTCCTAATTAAGTTGCCTTTGATTTAAAATAGTCATGAGAATGCCTTTCTATGTTGACTCTGTAGGCATCACACTAGTTTTTGGAACAGAACTCATATATACAGGCTTTGAAGAGGAGTCCAAGAGAACCTCACAGGGGGTCAGACACAGAGAAGTTGAAGATCATGCACATACCTGTCACACTATGGTTACACAAAGGTGAAGGAGAAATCTTATAGGCTGCAACACTTGCTTCCTCCAATCCAGCTCTCGAACTGCCTGGGGCTTCCTCCGCTGTTTCTCTTTTCAGCTGAAAGAAAGAGAGAGACTGAGAGAGAGAGACATCCACTTTTACATTATTCAGACTAACCACATAATGGAACAGGCAATTCCCCAAACTCTCCTCTGATGTGTCAGATTTAAAGTGGAATAAAAGATTTAGCATTCTTTGTCTTCTCGTACTTTGAACTGCGGGAGATCTAGGATTCAGCTCTGAGTCGTCTGCTTGGCACTGAATAATCTCAGTTGAATAATTCTTGGTTGTTAACCTACTTGGTAACTAATAGAGTTTTCAGTACAAAAAGCAAATGTTACTGTATTTAATACTGGATTTCATATCTTACATGAGACACTAATTTCTACCCCAAAAAATAAAGAAATAAGGAATTATATTTTCCTAGGATTATTTATTTGCATTGTGATTAAATATTGCCTATCCTAGCTAATATTAAAAAAATATTCAGTTCACATTATTGTCAAATATTATTCCCAGTTATTTCGTACTACATTTTTTAATTAACATGCATTAAAAACAAGTACTACCTGATGTATAAATACTTTACCATTTTAATAATGTGCCTTATTTGCATTGTGACAAAATCCGCCAAATCCAATTATCTGTCCACAAATTTCACATTGCAATTTTTTCCATTTTATTATTATTTTTTTTTAATTCCCATAATTCTCACTGGTGATTCTTATCATGATAACGGTTTTATTTTTTAATGCATTTTTCATGTTTTTTTATTTAATCAGCATACAGTATACATAATTTCAATTATTATTATTTTTTCCACATTATACACTCTAAAAAATGCTGGGTCAAATATGGACTAACCCAACCGTTGGGTTAAATTTTTACATTAAATTTTTAACCCAAAAGTTGGGTTA